AGCACAACAACAAGCATTTATAGCTCTTAAAACGCATATTCTCAATGCAGCGCAATTAGCACATTATCAGGAAGATTTACCGTTGGTTCTAGCTACAGATGCCTCCTCCTATGGCATAGGAGTTGTGCTCTCGCATACGTACTTTGACGGTACAGAAAGGCCTATTGCTTTTGCATCTAAAACTCTCGACATTCATCAACGACGATATAGTCAGATAGAGAAGGAAGGGCTAGCTATCGTTTTTGGAGTCAAGCGTTTCCATCAATATTTATACGGAAGAAGATTCACCTTGGTTACTGACCACAAACCTCTTGTTAGCATTTTAAATCCAATTCATCAGTTGCCGTCGATGACGTCACATCGTTTACAGCGATGGGCTATTATACTAATGGCTTATCAGTATGATGTTCGGTATCGTAAAACTACTGAGCATGGAAATGCCGATGCTTTATCTCGTTTACCTGTTGGTGAAGATAAAACTTTTGATCATGAAGAATCCTGTTTCAACATCAATGAACTTAACACACCTATCGACGCTGAAATAATTCGTCAGCATGCCAAAAATGACCCAATTCTTCGCCGAGTTTATTTTCTCGTTACAAACGGTTGGCCTGAAAAGCTAATGCCTCAAGATGCTGATCTTCGATCATTTTTCAATCATCGCTTTGCTTTAATACTAAACAACAATTTGCTTTGCCTCCAGACGGAGTACAACCGGGTTGTCATTCCAGCCTCCCTTAAGCAGAAAATGCTTAAACTTCTTCATGATGGTCATTGGGGAGTATCGAGAATGAAACAGCTAGCTCGACAACATGTCTGGTGGACTAATATTGACAAAGACATCGCACAATTAACTGAAAATTGTGATGTGTGCAAAATTGCAAATCCTGTTCACGCACGTGAATACGTAAGCTGGCCTAAAGCTGATCGACCTTGGGAGAGAGTACATATCGACTTTGCTGGTCCATTTTGTAATTCAATGTGGCTAATTTGTGTCGACGCTTTCTCACAATTTCCGTTCGTTGTACAACTATCTACAACAACAACGGTTGACACCATATCAGCATTGTCTTCTATATTTTCTCTGGAAGGTATACCAGAAACCATCGTAAGTGACAATGGTCCGCAATTTACAGCTGAAGCATTCAAACAGTTTTGCTCAAAACTTGGCATCAAACATATAACAACAGCGCCGTTTCATCCAGCCTCAAACGGGTTAGCCGAACGATTCGTCAGATCTTTTAAAACTGCTGTTCAGAAAAACATTGACGATGGATTGTCTCTCAAATTCGCTGTATCAAAATATCTTGCAACATATCGTGCAATGCCGAATGCTGAGGGTAAATCACCTGCAGAACTTTTACATGGAAGGCCTGTTCGTACCTTGTTGAGTCAACTGTTTGAATCGCCTAGAAAGCACCTTGAAGCTTCGAAACGGAAAATGAAATTCAGTCTAAAGCAACCCGTCTTCGCTCGAAACTACGCAAGAGGGGAAAAATGGATAAAAGGAGTTATTGTGAAACAACTTGGTAAAATGGTTTACCGAGTGAACACATCTTTTGGTTACATCAAACGTCACGTTAATCAGCTTAAAACTAGAAGTAGCTCTGACCTCTCTTCACAACCAATTTTTGAATTCACTCCAAATTTCATCAATGCCACACCGCCTTCATCTAGCCAATCAACATTAATGCCTAGTGAAGAACGTTCTACCGAAGTAGTTCAACTTCGAAAAAGTGGTCGTATTCGGAAGGATGTAAATCGATTTGAATCCGACGATTTCAGGAAAACTTGAACTTTGTCAAAAATTAAGGGCGGAGAAAGTGTTATAATCTAGTATGTTTTGCATTAGTTTAAGCAATCTTAAATAATGAAATGTAAACAAAATTTAGTAAAATATAAACTGTCAATCTTGTCGGTTGTATTTACTTCAAAAACCATTATAGTTATATATGTTTTTAGTGATAACACGTTACTAAACTATTATTTTAAACAGTAACTATAGTCACAGCGCACGGCTCCGTTGGGAGATGGTTCCCTGTTTATTGCTATTCTGTCTGTTTAGTATATGCTTAGTTTTGACATTGTATTTACTTTTTGATAGACCTGTTATTTAATTAGTTGCATTAAAAAAATTTAAATATTAAAATAAACCCTTGATTTAAAAAAAAATGAAAAGTATTTATGGTGGATATATTTCCTGCCACAATCATGCGAAGTGTTAAAGAGTGCTGTTTTTATATTTTAGATGAATTTTACTTTCGCGTTAGTTAACTATTAGTCGTACTTAAGTTTGAGAAAAATTAGATTAATAATTCAAATATAATAAATCTAAAATTTGTAAATAAAAGTATTACTCTTATTACTATTACGATTATCCTTTTCTGGGGTTAAGTTGTTGTCGTACAAACAAGTAAAGGGAAAGCCATATATCTTTATGTTCTTTGGTGTTATGTATTCGTTAAAGTCAAAATGAAGTGTCGAAATTCAAGTCTAATGACAATCCTGTTTTCCACAGAATAATTAGCAATGTTGGTAACTACTTTCTATTTAACAACAATTCGATAAATAGCTGTGTTTGGTAGGCATTTCTATGATGTGAGTCTGTAATGTTAAAGGTACAACATGTCTTTAATATTAACAAGTACAGAACTTCAAATAACTGAATAAAAACAAACAAAAAACTCTAAAAAATATTATAATTAAAAAAAATCTGTCTAAATGCATTACTCATATTTTCCTTTATATTTAACTAACAGTTCTAGTACTAAAATGCCTTCTTAGAAGTTTAATAAGCTTAAATGTAAATAGATGGGTTACTTAAAAATGTTGTAAGTCAAGAGATTCAATTCTAAAAAATATTTTAATTCAATAAAACCAGACTAAACGTATAACTCATCTTTTCTATTAATTTTATCATCAGAAAGTGATACTCTTAAACGGTAGCTATAGAGATAAAACGTAAAAATTGATAGATTGAAAAAATATATGTATACATATATTTACAGGCATAAGTTCTTTGTAAGAATCTTTTCCACAAAAAAAAAAAAATTTTGTTTTTGGGAAAACATGCAAAGGATTTTCAATTTTAATTAAATCTTTTTTACTGTTGTGGTGGTTGCCAGGACATTGAAAATGAAATAAATTAAAATGAACATATCCTGTCAATTCTCACTGAAATGACAACATTGTTGTTGCTACCATTCACGCAACATCCAAAATAATCCTTTCAAAATATTTTTGATTGGAAAATTTTAAATGTTATTTTGTCTGCCCGCTTAAGTCAGGCGATTTATTTCTTATACATACATCAACTCTGCCCGAGGATCAACATTTTCAGTAGGAAATGTAAACAATAAAGTTCTGACATCTTCGTAAGCTCTCACATATGCATTCATATATATTTGTATATATATGTATATATAAATATATATATGTCTTTAATGGATGTATGTGTGCTTTTGTTGTAACTTCGGTTGAACTCAATTTCATATTCATTTAAATTGTCTGCAGATAAATATTTTATATTTGTACTTTGCTCTAAGCATTTTCTGGATGAATATCTGAAGAAAAGTATTTATAACATAAGTACGTGTGTGTGTGTTTGTGTGTTTGTGTGTGTGTGTGTGTGTGGTAGATATGTTTGCTGAATATGAATTTTTCGACAAATTGAGCAGAGTCGAATTTCTTTGAGTTAAGTACAAAATACAGCAAATGTTCAAGATGAAGATTCATTATTTATTTATTTATTTCTTTTATTGTCTTACTCAAATTAAATTTGTATAGCAAACATAATCCCAAAAGTCCGTCAAATGCGAATATGTTTTTACAACGAAAGTCATATGTCATGCAATAATGTCAATACAAAAGCGCATAAAATGTGAGTATCTGGTGCGAGCATATGAGTATACGTCGTCGCTACTTATTATTAGGATTATTTTTCGTCCACGTACTGCTCTGTATGTGTATGGGTCTCATGTAGATAAAAATTAAGTGGCATGGGAAATATAATACGTCGACACTTAAGCTTAGGCAACGACATCATATGTGTGGTTCTTTTTTTTTGTTTTTTTTTTTTGCTTGACAAATATATAATTGGGCGCGCTTAAGTGGTCAAGATTCCTATTATTTGTGTCTTATCGAAAATGTATATGTGATGTGTATTCATATCTTAAGATTATGTACTAATGCTACTTTGAGTAAAATGGATCTTTAGAATAGGCATGGTCAAATGTATTTATATAGATTGTTTGAACTTCAAATGGATTGGGTTTTTAGTGCTAATTTGTAGTAACTATAAAGCGTAAAAAATAATAATTTCTGATTGTTGTTTAGGATTTAAAATCAAAAATTTGATATTTTACAGCTTTAAGGATTTTGCTTTTAATTAGTATTATGTTTAGGAAAAATATACTCAAATATTGAAATCCAAATCAAAAAGGTTGATTTCTGACATTAATGGAAGGTTTAATTGACCCGTATAATCTAGGGATTTAAAAATAAAGAAAACCTATAAAGAAAACGTTGACATTTTAATAAGACAAATTAAAGTTAAATTTATGTATTTATAGTTTTGGTTTTATATTCACAATGATTCTGTTGAGAATCATAACTAGATTTTTTGTTAAAGATGGCAATATTTTCAAAATGAATTTACGGTGATACTTTTTGTGCTCACTTATATAAATGGA